TTCAAATGGAGAGATGTCGATAGTCGATCATTCACGCCACGCCACTGACAGAGACTGATCGTAGAGAGGGGGAGGGGCGCGCAAGAAATCTCAAGCGCCAACGTATTTCAATGAACTGATTTTATTTGATCAGAAGCTGATTAGGCTGTCTGAATTTGCCGCTCTTAACAAATGTTCAAAATTTTAAAAGACCACTAAACCTTAAACGTTCGAAATTGCGGCCATGATCTTTTTTACAAAGTAACAATCGAATACAATCGAAAATATCTAACACAACTATGTAGTCATTAAATTGGCGTTCTCATATATCTTAGGTTTTTTTTTTTTATTTTCTGGGTTTTATTTTAAATTTATTATTTTTATTTTGTTTTAGTCTGCATTGCCATTACAGATTTGCCGCTTTTATTTTCGAGGGGTAAAAGGTAAAATTGGAATAGGAATATTAAATTTTCGGCGTTCTTCTTCATATCAAGGGAAAAACTTTGTTAGGTACTTTCCAGTTTTCAGTTTTCGCCTTGAGAATTTAAAATGACAAGGGCCAAAAAAAAATCGGCGGAAGTCAATCCGATCCCCCTGCGCCCAAAGTTTATCTGAGGGATCTGCACCTTTATTTCATAAGCCCTTGTCCCACGATCCAATAAACTCATCAAATAGTCATCAAATGCAAGATGGCGACTGGTTTTCGTGCAAGTCTGCTATCAAAAGTTAGCGGGCCGTCAATGTTGATGAACCCATCTTGCATTTGATGCATGGAGAAAAAAAAGGAGGTGTTTGCATTTCGGGCATCTTGGAATTTTTTGATGATTTGATGACGTAGGTCGGTACAGCGACGTCCCCTTCACGCTAAACGTCGCTGTACCGACCTACGTCATCAAATCATCAAAAAATTCCAAGATGCCCGAAATGCAAACACCTCCTTTTTTCTCTCTATACATTTGATGAGTTCATTTCATCGTGAGACGAGGGCTTTAGAGTAGGTTCGACGGCTCATGGATAGACCGTTTTTCTTTTTAGAAAGTCCTTAGAAACTCCACATGTGACACTTGAATCTTCATTTGCCCCCACGTGTGGAAGCCACCACGGTCCCCACCGGGGAGGGAAAGGGGTCTAATTCAATAAAAAATTTCATTCAAATGCGAAGAGTTCGAAAGATCTCCGAGCTACGGAATTAGCATTGAGTCCGAGTACATCTTCTTGAAAATGTAATCGCGGAAGCGGCCTGCATGTAAATTGACGGAGAGGTTGTATTACTCTCAACCCCCTGTCCCCCTTTTTTTTCGTTTCAGAGCGGGGGAAATCAGGAAATTTACCTTAAATGGTGCCCGAAAATCTGCCATACTTGACGAGGGTCCCTTAAGAAACACGACTAGTTATTAGAATACCAGAAATACATGACGACCGCTCACTTTGGGGCCAAAAGTATCCATAAAACCCCCGCTGCCCCTCTAAATTGCACTTTTGAGGGTCAAGGTGTTGTAGTCTTTTTCCGTAGTTCGAGAATTGACGAGGACTTCCACAGAATACGGCATTTTCGCAAATGAACTGATGAACGTCCGAGCCGATTCTTTCATTGAAAATGTCGTTCTTTGCCACGGGCCCCTTATTTTCCACGTTGACAAAGGAGAGACCCGGTAGCAATTGACTTAATTTATGCCTGCAAGTAATGTCCAACTTGACGAGGACTCTTGAAAAGTTGTGACCAGTCGGAGGACCACAATCCTGGGACTGCCGCCCACTTTAGAGAAAATCATCTATAGGTAAAACCGCCGCTGCCCCTCTGAATTTCCCTCGTGATTCTCTACTAATTCAAGGTTTTGTAGTCTTATTCCATTGCTCAGAGAATATACGAGGACTGGTCCATCTACTAAGAGTGGACGGCAGTCCAGGGATTAAGGTTCTTCGACTACTCGACTCCGACTTATCATGGGTCATCTTCAAGTTGGACATTACTTTAGTCCTTTTCTCTCACGTCTCACCTTTGTCGGCGTAGAAAATAGAGAAAAGAAATGAGATTTTTTATGTAAAAATGGGCGTGAACGATCCTCAGTTCATTTACGAATGGGCCGTATCCGGCGAAAGCCCTCGTTGATTTTCAGAGCAACGGAATAAGACTACCAAGCATTGAATTTGTTGAGAATCAAGATTGAAATTTATGGGGGCAGCGTGGGTTTTATGGATGATTTCGTCCCTAAGTGGGCGGCAGTCCAGGGATTGCAGTCCTTCGACTAGTCACAACTTCTTCTTCAAGTTTGACATTACTTTCGGGCATCATTTCAGTCCTTTTCTCCCGGGTCTCTCCTCTGTCGGCGTAGAAAACAAGGGGAGATAGGTAGGGTGTTACTTATTTTTGAAATTTGAGGAAAGTTAATAAAAAAAGGAACGTTTTTTCAAAAAAAAATTTTTTCACCGACCTCTCAAGCGCCCTAAAGGGCGCACGTGTCAAAATTGGTATCTTGACAAAATCAGTGTCGTTTCGCTATGGACATCATCCAGATTGCGGTACTTCAGAAAAATAATTTCCGTTTGGTTGTATCCGTAGCCGGAAAATCGGCCAGTTGAGTCTGGCCGAAAGAACGGCCAGTTGAGGCGCGGTAACCACCCTCCGACGCGCCTCTTAGACCCTGCAGTGAACTCGAGCCTCTTGCTGCCGACATAGGGTTGCGAATAATTCATCCCAGCTGGAAATTAACCTAACTTAACTCTTCGGACCAAAATTTTGGTCATTTCACCGGATCTCTGAGGCTTTGGCCGTAAAATACCATTTTCAGGGGAAAGGTAAATCTGCTTACCGGGCGCGTCTGTGGGTTCAGCTCCTTTTAGCATTGTCGACCCTATCTCACCGGCTATTCCTGAAGCTTACATCTTTCTTTCTCTCTTGTTCTTTACAGACAACTTGACACATATGTCTACACCTCTTGTTTTCTCTTTTTTAACGAAAGGATTAGTCTTCTTGAGGGAAAATATCCGAAACCATCGTTGAAGAGTTGCTTACAACCGTTCAGGACACTGTGTAGCCGGAGCTTACATGTTTCGATCTCATTCTTGTCTTCAGTCCTCTTTTTGGACTAGAGAGTTGGGATCATGGTTTTTTTTTTTTTTTTTTTTTTTTTAAATTTTACAATTACGAAGCAAAGGCACCCTTTAGGGCGCTTGAGAGATCGGAAAAAACAATTTTAAATTTTTTAGAGAAAATTTTCCTTATTTCTTACACCTCATAGCACGTTTTGAGACCTGGGGAGCTGAAATTTTCTCAAATTTCAAAAATAAGGGACAATGAGGCTGAAATGGGTGGAAATAGGGGGGGACGGCCCTCCACACAATTCTGCTCGTTCCCTTCCAAAAAAAATCAAGAGCCCAAGATACTAATTAGTCTTGAGGTAAAAGGCATAGGGAATGTAATAAAACCTAACAGTGTTATGTTGTGAATGAACTGAAACCCACAGTAAGATATGATATGTTTAAAACAAGTCAGCAAAATTTCTGTCATCTGTAATATTTAATTCCATTTAATTTGCCATTGATAATGGCTTAAAAATTTTCTCGAGACGTTCCAATTTTCAAAAATTTGCCGGGGAGGCCTCCCAGTTCCCCCTTAGCCCAAATTCTATATCCCCCTATGCCCCCTCCCACAGAAAATTTCTCGTTCCACCCATGTAAGGGACACCCTAGGGAGGGGGAGAGATTTGACGAAGTTATTAATATTTTTCCTTCAGATTTTCAGACACTTTTAATCTAATTACAAAGAAAATCTTCTACTAAATTAGAAGAGCAATATTGACAAAATTTCCCAGAAATTTGTGATTTCCTTAAGGAAATTTGGCATCGTCTGAAGGCTCATACGGCGGTTTTCCTTGACAGTATACTAAGCGGTATTTTCAGGGACGGTCTTTTAAACGGCAATTTGACACCAGTGGCTTTGATTTCGTTAAGTTATTATTTGGCCCACTACACTCATCTGTCTGACCGATTCAGTGCAGTGCAGTGGCTGGACGTCCGCATCGATATCGCATCGGGCCGATAGCGAAAGACGCGATCTATGCATGGGATTCCTGATTCCCCTGATTGCCGCGCGCCGCGACGACATCTATTTCTGTCCCCCACCAGAAACTCTGTCCATTCAAGAGCTGGTGCGCAACCCATTCCGCGGGCCGCCGTAGCTGTGTATGCCGGGTTGCGGGAAACCATTCGACGCAGGAACTTCGATTCCGCTTGAACCAGGATACCCGGAAATTACAAGCTCATACTGCCTGCACTACGTAGATATTTCTTTAAAATCTAACTATTTGTTCTACAAGTCTGGACCCGAATTTTGATGGCTACGGTCGACCGCAAATTGCTACACCCTCTACAGTAGACATTGAGTTAGGAAAATTGTATTCTTATCTCAACCAGTAAGCAAGTTGAGTTTTTCTTTAAAAGCAACCTCAAGCCACACTTAGTTCCTTAACAGAGCAAACCAATAATCAGCGATCTAAAAACAAAGTCAACAATCTTGTCTCAACTTATGATCAGTCACAAACTTTGCAATGAAAGTCAGGTCCTGGGATGCAGATTTTTTTTGATCCATACCAATTCTTTGAATGCACTGGAAAAAGATTTATGAAGGCAAGGTTTATTTATACCTAACCTTAATTAGCCTATTGTACATGGCGCTTGCAAGAACTTGCATGTAAAATAGCTATTACAATCATTCTGCTCAAAAGGGCCTATATGTGATAATTTTTGTTTAAATATTAAATTATCTTTGGAATGCTGACCTTCTTAGAGGTAAATATTTAATTTTGAAGACAAATGATGAGATGAAAGAAAAAATGAACAGAAGCAATGTGACTCGCCTGTTAGGTACCTTCACAACCTACACCAGCCATCAATGATTCACATTTCATTGCATGTATTGCAATTAGCATTCTTACTAAAAGTCGGAGTGATGTAAAAATTCAACTTTCCTCCTTCAACTTAATTCAAAGCTAAATTTACAATATTCGCGAAACAAAACTTACCAACTCTTCCTGGCGAGCCAAGAGTTCCTTTTGAACAGCTTGAATATCCTCTCGATGACCTTTGATGACCCAGGTAACGACTTTGTAATCCTCTTTTGATTCGGCCTTTATCTTGGAAGCGGGTGGCACGCTGATTTTAACACTTCTCTTCATCTGCAAAGCCTCAATGAATTCATTATCAGCACCGCATAGGAGAGGATGATTCTTGCGGTCAATATCGACTTTCACTGAAGCTTTTTTAGCCTAGGCAAGAAGTTATTCAGTTATTTCAAACATCATTTTACAAGGCAACTGAATGTACAGAGTGAAGAAACATAATTGCTTAGTGTAGTCTTTTGTAAGCACATTTGAGGATTTTTTCAACCACGAAAAGATCATGGCAGAGATATTTGGCATGTAAAGTACACAAAGGCCAAAACTCAAAAATGTACCTCGAAACAGTCTCAACATGAAACCACCTCAATAGTCCTTCGAATGCACTGAAATGTCTATCCTTAGATATTTACTCCTATTAACCTTTCAAAAATCATTACCGACCATTGAGATATGAAACCCATTTCTTGCTCTCCCTTCAACCACCACATCTAGAAGCCCAAAAAGAGTGGAAAATAGCGACTTTTCTTTGTTTCTCTTCGTTAACGTCACAACTAAGTATTTTAATTTAAATCTGACCAATCTTTAGCTACTATATTGACCAATAAAACTGCTTCTTTTCATTGAAATGCCTTGGATTCATTTACTGTCCTTGAATAATTAGTAAGCTCTATTGAGAGCTTAGACAATGAAAGTTTACAAACAAATAAGCTGAGCTCCAAAGGGGAAAAAAACACATCCATAAAGCCAAATGAGCTTTAAAAATATTATTTGAAAGTCCTGTTTATAATGCAGCAAAGAAAGCATTTACAGATAGCTCATCATAAATTGATGAAATAAAGCACGGGGGTAAGACCGCGGAGCGGGTATGGGGTGGAGCCTCCTAGTCAAGAGAGTTTCTATTGCACGGCTCTACAATCATACCAGAGAAAGCTGAGAAAAATGTAATCAATTTGAAAAAGGGCACATCTCCACTTTTTGTGTCATTTCTTTTAGACATCCATGTTGAAGTACCTCCAGAATTCTTTGGGAGCATTCTTACTGATTGCATTGAACATCTAGATTAATTTTGTTACGTCATAGCATTGCTTATAGCGAAGAACTTGATGCCAAAATGACCTTTTTTCAGCGCTTCTTTTCCAACATTTTTTTTGGGGGGGGGGG